CTATCTTATCACTAACTATCTTTTACTCCGTCGAAATCCCGGGGTACTCTTTTTAAGCCTTTACTACAAGTCCCTTCTACAGCGTCGTTAACCGAGTACCTAGCGAATCATGATTATTCCACCAAAGGTTGTGAAAATTTGTCTATTGTATTTAACTAATTTTAGTCCATTTTCTTTTCAAAAACTTTAGTTCACTTTTTTCTTTTTTTCTACTTTAGAACCGTCTAGTACATATATGTAGTAGTATGTAACATATTTGCACATTATAAAGATATGTTCTAAGCTTATTATCTTCAATATGGCTTCTCACTGAATTTGATGCGAGAATTATTTCTCAACCTAATAATAATTTCAAATCTGCGATGAAGGCCGCTGGATTCTGAAAGCTGTTTTTGTTCATATAATGTTGTTATTCGTTTACTCCAAAATTCTGGGCAAAAAATTTCTGCCATCTCAGCAAAACTTGCATTTTTTCCCAGCATTCAGCATTTGGATTGTGGAATAACCAAACCTAGCCACTTGCAAATGTGATTATCTCGCACTCTGCGAATTACCATGAGAGAGCGCAGTATAAAGGTCGTTTGATTGGTCGTAAAGTTTTTCGGTCAGCTCAGCTGGCCCGAGGGCTCTATTTGCCAGATTTTAGGCATTTGAGGAAAAATTGTTGGGGTAGGGAAAAAAGGAAACGCATAGCGAATAAATCTGTTCTAATCACACAATAAATTTTACTTGCACATTTATTTCCAAGTTATCCAAACTTTCAGAGCAAATTTGTTCTCTCAATAGAAGTAGGGGCTAAGCCTGAAGATGCGAAACATGCATATAAATCTAATGAAACACTTAATTCAAATATAGATCCTCTAGCGAAAATTACCATAATCTTTCTCAATGTAGATGCTAGCAGATGTATTGATTTTCCGAAATAAGCAGATTGATGATAATTTTTCAAAACTTCCTAAGCTCTTCCGTGTCATCCGCGATGTGATGGGTTGTGAATAATCGTTTGTCCTCCTATTTCATAAGAAGAAAAATATGTTGGTAGCAGTGGCTTATCCAGGATTTAGGGAAAAGACGTGACAAAACTTCCACAAAAAAATTTTAAAAGGTTGAATTGAATTTTTAAAAGTTATTTCAATTATTTTCAAGTTTGAGCAAGTCACCTGCATAATTTTATAACTCATGTTAACTTTAAAAATATCGCTACCTAATCTCTGGGGGTTGGGCTTGTAACACCGCTGGTTGATAGGCATACCTATGTTTTGATCTGACATCATCTGAACTACGGAATTTGAACCATTAAAACGGCAACGATTTATGCCTGCAGAAACCCTAGTCTTCTCGCATAATTATAGGTCAGTCGGATTCCGGATACGGTAAAGTGCTAATTCTAGGTTGTTCGCTAAAATGGTCAATGGTTACATGACAACTGCTCTGGTGATTCTTGGCACTATCGGAAATGTGCATGGAGTGAAACGGGTTCAAGTGACAAATCTCGATAAGGTGAGCACGCAACCGCCTGTGATGACCTCCTTTGTTTTGTTTTTGAAATCTTAAATAAAATATATCAAAATGTTTCTCAACTTCAAATAAATTTCTGCTTTCCAGCGGCGAGGAATCGTTTTAGCCGTATCACTGATAGCCTTAGCCATTTGGGACACGATCCTTCTGTGGTGTGCCTTTTTCTATTACGCTATTCGAAAGCTACCGTTAGCCGTCAGCACTGACTGGCTGAATGTTCTCATGCCATGGTTTCATCCATTCTCTAATATTGCCAACACTGCGGCGGTAAGTTATTCAAAACATTTGGTGGTCACTGGGGTAGACATATGCTTGTTTGGAAATTTATACCCGACTCCATTTTTGGAATAAGTTGAAACAAAAGCAGGGTACTCGAA